GAGAATTAGGTTTCAGAGATAGAGGGTCCAGGGGAGGGTGAATTGCAGAGAGGGCACTGCCTGCCCCTTGGGGTGGGGAAGAGCTGGATCAGAAGGGCTGGATTCTGCGTGGCTCCCAACAGGTGACCTGAGCAGCAAAGGATCGCTCCGCACGTCCTGAGTGAAGCAATTGTCTGAGGGAGTGGATTGTGCCACCCCACCCGCCCTCTGACGTTCAGGGCAAGGTAAAGGGATTACGTTTTCTTAACTGCCGCGCTGCTTGCCTCTCAGTCCCACGGAGTCCTGTTAACTTGAGTCACCTTCCTGGAAGCTTATTGCCCACACACACACTGATGAGATTGAGTTCCTGGACACCAGAGGCTGGGAACCCGACCTTGGACGCCAATAGATTCCTGCCCCATGGAAGGCTCCTTGGCAGGCAGCCAGCAGGCCTGCCCTGACCCAGCCTGCCTCTGCTTCCAGGCCCCCAGGGCCTCCTTTCTACTGGGCCAAGATTCCAGGGGCCGCAGATAGGACCCCCGGCAGGGGGCTTCCTCAGAGACGGCCAGATAAATGGCAGCTGTTCTGTGCAATGTGATGTGCCCAGCACACCCCTGATGTGCCTATCACTAGGTATGTGAAGAGCATCGCAGGGCACCGATAGATGCTCAGGAAGCAGTAACTGTAAATCGACTGTTCGGCTGGGCTTCCCTCAGCCACCTTCTCAGAACACGTTCCCATCTCTCTTTTTCATGGGCCGCCTGCTCGTAAATGTGTTCAAAGCACAAACACACATTTGCCCCCACGGATCCTGACATCCAAAAGGTTTAGTCCGAGACCGCCTGTGGCAGCGCTTCTGAAAGCGGGGCCCTCAGTCCACCTGTGTTGGACCGACAATGTTTACCTGTAGATTCTCAGACCCCATCCAGACCTGCCGGGTGTGTCTCTGGGTTTGGGGGCTATAGATCTGCCTGTTAAAAGGCTCCAGGGGTGGCCTGGTGGCGGTGCTGGTGGGAATTCACCTGCCCCGAGGCACCTGGCCCCAACTGGACGGTTCTGATTCACTAATAGGCCCTGCCCACTTTGGCCCTTCCATCAGGTAATTCAAAGTCTCCAGGCCTGCTGGTTACTGATTAACTCTAGCAAAGAAATAATAATAATTGAAGGGGCAACACAAGCTCAGAGACAGGCTGAGCAGCCGTGGGAGAGCGGTGCCAGACGGCTGTTGTCAGCAGGCACCCAACAGAAGGAAAAGGAGGCTTGATACGCCGCCTCAGGTCAGACTCGGTCCCCGCAGCACCTTGTCCATGCCCAGGCCCTGAGCTGCCGCGTCCCGCCGGCTCCCCTGCCCAGAATGGCCTGCACTGAGGCCCCACAGCAGCCAGCCCCGCACCAGCCCCAGCCCATCTCGGCAGGAGCCACCACCACCACGGACACCGCGGGCCCTGCTGGGGGTCATCGTGGCTCCGTGGGTCCCGACCTGGAGTGCCTGGTGTGCCGGGAGCCCTACAGCTGTGCCCGACTCCCCAAGCTGCTGGGCTGCCAGCACTCCTTCTGTGCTGTCTGCCTGAAGCTCCTGCTGTGCCCGCAGAACGACACCTGGTCCGTCACCTGCCCGCTGTGCCGCAAGGCCACCGCCGTCCCCGGGGGCCTCATCTGCAGCCTGCGTGACCAGGAGGCCGTGGTGGGGCGGCTCGCCCGGCCATGCCCCGAAGTGTGGCTCTGTCCTCAGGAGCTGGTGAGTCCCGCCACCCTGACAGCAGGGCATCCCGGCTTGGCAGGAGAGGATGGGCAGGACGTGGCGAGTGCCAACCGCGTGGCAGCCCGGCGCCTGGTGGCACACCTGCTCCTGCTGGCCTTGCTCATCGTCCTCATCCTGCCCTTCATCTACCCCGGGATCATGCAGTGGACGCTCACCTTCATCATCGCCCTGGCCCTGCTGGTGGCCACCCTCTTCTGCTGTCACCCCCGCAGCCAGGGCAGCGGCCGGCCCTGCCCCAGGACCCTCTTCTGCGGGGAGCAGAAACACAGCGAGATCTCCTCCGTTGCCTGTGTGCACCCCATCCAGGCACCCACAGCACCTTGAGCCTCTGCGGCCCCGATATTCTCCCAGTGAACAGGGTAAGGGGCTGTGAAGTAAGGCCGCTCCCTCAGGAGATGGAATGCCAGCCAGACTTGCAAGCTAAAGCCAGATGCTGTCTCGGGTCCAGAACTATGTGCTTGGAGGATAGACTTATGCCTGCCCCGGGGACAGCGTGGCTAAGCTGCTCGGGGTGGGGAGGAGGCACAAATGACTTGAACACTACAAGGGGGGCTCCTGTTCCTCTGATTCCAGTGCTCCGGGTTTTTCTTTCTATCCCTTGAGGAAAGTAGTGCAATATTAACGTATTGAAGAACCAATAGAACCAGAACTCCTCTTTTGTAATTGTTTTGTAATTTATGCAGCTGGTTTTATTTTATTGCTTGGTTGGGGGCTGGGTTTTTGTGTTTGGAGTAGTTTGTTCATATTTCTGGCTGCTACACAATTTCCCTCCTGGGAAGTCAGAGCTCATGGGACGTCCTCCTGTGTCCCCGCCAATGCTGCCCATCTCATGCCCGCCCCGCCTTGCCAAAGGTCCCGGCAGTTTTGGGTCTTCCATTGGAGTCGCCATGCCATCCCTCCCCCCAGATGGAGGGAGAGAACTTGTATGAAGAAGTGGTACTTCTGATGCCAGCAGGAGCCCCCACGTTTAGTTGGCAGGGCTGGGGAGTGGGGAGGGAATGCGGGTGGCTCTGGGAATTTCCCTCAGCATCCCCCACCAGGATTTCCCAGTTCCGTGTCTTCTGGCCCTGTCTTAACAGAGAATCTTGGAGTTGCAAGGGCTTCCCCCATGCCGGCCCAGCTGCCCACCTGATGCACTGCCCCACACTCCAGAACTGGCAATTATGAGCGCTGCTTTCTTTATTATTGCGTCTCGCTTTCCATTTGAGTGTTTGTCATAAAGATAAGAGGCCTCGTAAATGCAGCGGTCCTCTCCAATAACCCCAACTTTCCCAACTCACCCCAAGAGTGGCAGTCATCTGAAAGGCGCCTGTGTTTTTTCTCGGTCATTTCTGCTCCGTAGCATGGAGGAATGACCTTCCACGGTCACCCAGGTCAAGCCTCAGCCAGGGAGACCCGTGGGGTGCAGGGGAGTGGAGGCTGAGAGATGACATGCTATTTCCTTCCAAAGGCCATAATAGGAAAGCAGACTTGAGACCTCAGATGGGTCCCCCAAGCACAATCCATTGTCCTGTCACTACGCTTGACAGTACCTTTGTCGGGAGGGAGGTGAGAACTCTGTGCACAGGGGTGAACCCTGTGTTGTTGAACCAGGTCCTGCCTCTCAGAGCTTCACTTCCCCCGAAATGAGCTGGTAGAACTGAAATATTCCTAACACCCCTGCAGCCCAGGAGCTCAGGGCACTGCCGAGCCCCAAACAATGGACGTGCATGGGCCACATCCCCTGTGGCCTCATGCAAAGAAAGGTCAAGATACAAGTGTGGGTGCAATTAGCTGTTCTTGAAATCTGGGTGCCTCTCTTTTAACTCGGTGACACCCACGCTATTGGCTTTATGGACTCCTGGTGCTGAAAGAGAATGTGTGAGTGGATGCGGGCATGCGTTGCCCACACTGTTAAGCCAAGGCCAAGTGGAACCCTGTCTCGCCCTAGATGGTTTGGCTCAATGGATAGAGCACCAGCCTGTGGACTGAAGGGTCCCGGGTTCAATTCCAGTCAAGGGCATGTATCTCAGTTGCAGGCTCCTCCCCGGCCTGGGCCCTGGTCAGGGCTCATGCAAGAGGCAACCAATCGATGTGTTTCTCTCACGTTGATATGTCTCTCAATCTTTCCCTCTCTCTTCCACTCTCTCTTAAAAATCAATGAAAAAATTCTTGGGTGAGAATTTTTAAAAAAAAAAAGAAGAAGATGCCGAAGCCGGTTTGGCTCAGTGGATAGAGCGTCGGCCTGCGGACTGAAAGGTCCCAGGTTCGATTCCGGTCAGGGGCATGTGCCTGGGTTGCGGGCACATCCCCAGTGGGAGATGTAGAGGCAACCAATCGATGTGTTTCTCTCACATTGATATGTCTCTCAATCTTTCCCTCTCTCTTCCACTCTCTCTTAAAAATCAATGAAAAAATCCTTGCGTGAGGATTAAAAAAAAAGAAGAAAAGAAAAGAATACCCTGTCTCCCCAGGAGGAGTCAGTGACAATAATTGTTTGTCATTTCCTGCGCTGGCCTTGGGCATGTGTGCTTTGGGATGGGTGCCAGTCGGGTAGGCAAAGAACATTCTCTCTCCACTCACCACCATTCCTATTCCACCTAGTTCTTGGACCCTCCACCAACAAGAAAATCTTCACCAAGATTTCAGTTGTTAATGACAGCACCATTTCTACATTAATAAAGGTGGGTGCATGTTTATTGGGTGCTTACTATGTGCCAAGCCCTGCCAAACTGCTTTATGTGCATTATCTAGCCGAATCTTCATGATAACCTATGCAAGTAGAGATCATTTGCTGATGAGGAGACTGAGGATCAGAGAGGTAAATTCATCTGCCTCAGGTTGCACAGCCAACCACTTTCAGAGCTCTGTCATCTCCATCATGCTGCGTCCTTTGCGTGCAGTTCCAGAACAACCAGGAAGCTGGTGGCCACCTGTGGGCTTGCAAGGGAGAGTAGAAGACTAAGCTCAGGAGCCTCCAAATTCCAATGGCCAGGCACTCAGAGAGGCCAGAGAATTCCAGAACCTGTTGTCTATGCTAAAGAGACAGAAAAAAGAGTGATACAAATGAGATGGCTTTCCTACAGACTTTTACCACCCAGTCCCAGCCTCCCCTGCAGGGAGCTCTGTTGTTACATGGTCCCTAACCAATGTACCCCCCCACCCCCTGAGCAAAGATGTCCTGACACTGCTGTCTCCACTCCCCTGGAAGCCCAGCTGGTCCCAAAGACCTGCTGGCCCCTGCAGTATGGGGACTGAGAGCCCCAGAGGCCAGTATCAGCCCAGGCTGCCCTGCAGGGGAGCAGAGGAAACAGGGGGTGTGGAAAAAGGGTGTGAGTGGAAGGAACCAGGGAGGCAGGCCAAGGTTCAAAGCTAAGTTCTGACCGAGCGTATGACCAGTTACAGAACGTCTCTGAGCCTTAGCTTGTTCACCTGTGGAGTTGGGGAGGACTCCACTCACCTCCCAGAGTTTCCATGACGATTCAAAGCGCTCCCGGATGAGAACCCTCTGTCCTAATGGGTGGCCTTTGTCATTAATTATTGACCCCGTGGGTAAATGGCTTTCCTGGGGCCTGTTCAGGGGGCTGGCTTTGGTGATAGGATAGAGTGGAAACATTGTCCAGGGCAGGTGATCTGGTGGAGAACTTTGTGCTTAGGTCCTAAGGGAAAGTCCAAAGGATGAAGAATTGGGTGGGGGGGGCGGGCAAATTTCACCCCCACCAGACCCATCTCTCAATCTGTGGCCTTGCAGTCAAACACACCTGCCTTGAATTCTAGCTTCAGCGCCTACACGTCACCTTACCTGTCTGAGTCTCAGGTTCCTTAGCCATGAGACAGAGCTTACAATCCCTATTTCATAGGGTTGCTGGAGGAATTAACGAAATAACCCTTGGTGAGCATTCAAGATCATAAGGAAGTAAAGCAGAGAAATGAAAAAAAAAAAAAACAAGGAGAGAGAGAGGGTCGGGTTCTAGCAAGATGAGAACAGACTCTTCTTATTTTATTCGATCTTACTAAAACCTGGCCACTAGAATTCACCTCCCCGAGACCAGCCTCAGCAGCAGCGGCGTCCTCAGCAAAATATAAGAAAACAATCATGGCTAACGCGATTCTAATGCACTGTGGGAAGTATATTGCATGTGTTAAATTACCTCTGCTATGAGGTAGATACTATGATTACCCCCAAATTACACACAGGGATAACTGAGACACAGAGAAGTTAAGTAACTTGCTGGAGAGCACACAGCGAGGCAGTGGTGGGCCAAGAGTAGACTGCAGAGGCCCAACTCCAGAGAGCAGACTTGGAGTCACTTTGTTGTATCAAAGGAACATTTCCGGCACATCATAAGCACTCAAGGTATGTGGGCCCCCTGGCCTGGAGGGTAAAGAATTAAGAAGAGCCCTAGCAGGCTTGGCTCAGTGGATAGAGCATCAGCCTGCGGACTAAAGGGTCACAGGTTTGATTGAGGTCAAGGGCATATGCCTGGGTTGTGGGCTCGGTTCCCAGTGGCGGGGGGGGGGGGGGGCAAGCAGGAGGCAGCCAATCCATGATTCTCTCTCATCATTGATGTTTCTATCTCTCTATCCCTCTCCCTCCCTCTCTGAAATCAATAAAAATATATATTTTTTAAAAAGGATTAAGAAGAGATGGCATTCCCGCACTTGGTTACAGCTTCCTGACTTAGTGGGTGTCTGGGGCTGAGGGTTGTAGGATCCTACCTGCCCCATTACCCACCGCCGTGGTCTCATCTCACCTTCCAGCACCTGTTCATGGCGGGAACCTCTTTGTAAGTAACTGCAGGAAGTGTTCCAGCCTTTGCCAGAGCAATCAATTCTTTGTGGCAAAGGAAAGCCTTTCCAGGAATGAAAGATGGTCCTGCAAGTTCTCAGACTGTGGGAACAGCATAGTGCACATTCAAAGGGATATCAGATCTCTGCTCTTGAAACTGCCTGGAGCCATTCGTATGAACTCTATATTCTTGTCAGAAGATCTTGAGATCACTCTTTTAAAAGGAGAACTGTGAACAATTCAGAACACCGTGAGATCTTAGGCCCACCCATGCATTTATTTATTCAACAACAAATATTGATTGAGCGTCTGCTCTGTTCCAAGCAGTGATCAGTGTACTTAGTCTTGTTTGATGAGGAAGGAGAACTAACACGTGCAAAGCGCCTGTCATGGGTTGAATTGTGTCCCCCTCCCCAAAAGAAGCTGGGTTGAAGCCCTAACCCCACCACCTCAGAATGTGGTCTCCTTTGGAAATAGGGTTTTTGCAGAGATAATCAAGTTAAAATGAAGTTATTGGGGTGGGCCCTGAAACGATATGACTGGCGTCCTCATAAAA